ATTCGCCCGAGAAAACTGAGGAGGAACTAACTCAGTTTTCCCTTAAGCGTTGCCAACAACATTTTCCACATTTCGGAAAATGGCTGCGTTAAAGCACTGCAGTAGGCCAAATAACAAAATATACTAGTCCACTATTTTTGCTCCTATCCATATTCACAAAGAGGTCTTTGCAAGAAACGTATTTCGATCACTTACCAATAAGTATACAAGAAAAAAGAAGAGAAGGGATCGCTTAAATGAGTGCGGCAAATAGCCATCTTTCTTCGCTACTGCACCTTAGTACTTTAGGCTTGATTTCGGAATTAATGTAGAAAGTTACCATTACCAACTAGTTCTAACAAAGATCTCTATAATACGCCATTCGTTTCAAATGAGGTAAAGCGCTGTCACCAAACAGTAACGGGGAAGGGTGGCCCTGATATCTAGGTCTAGTGGTCTATTGGCAGTTTTTCAATAATCAGCAAACGCTATGCAACTTCACATAGTTCGCTATCACCTTAATGACCGCACATGTACAGCACAAAACTTCACCATTCTCTTCAACGACAAAGACGGAAAGAGTTCAAATAGAGTACACCTGATTCCTCTCAGTGCGTGTGATGGGGAATGCTTTATTGAAGCGAGTGCTTCAGCTTTCTATATGTTATCAATTAGGCATACGGGTCAAAAAAAACAGCGGAGATTTTGGTGTCAAGGTTATGGATGCAACATAATACTGCACAAAACCCTTATGACACTAGGATCGCCTTTGAAAACCAGAAATTAACAGAAAGGAAGATTCGTTCATCGCCTCAAATCTTTTCGCTATTTTTCTGATTTGAGGCAGACCCATTACACTACGTGAAGAACGCTGTGGGTTAGTCTATGTCACTAACCAAAAACGCAAAGAGCGTTGGAGGTTCTATAGAGGATGTCGTGAGTGCGAATGAAATCCACGTTGAGGGGTTTTCAGTTAGTGCAGCGAAAGTAATTAATTGACTATGTTAAACGACTATGAACTTTTCCTATTAATTTTTGAATTTCTTCTTGCCTATTAGCCTCATTCCCTTGCTTATCTTTTGAGATTATTAATGAAAGGGTTTAGAGTTTTTTTTTTGATGTTGTCAACTCTGCAAACTTTGATGTTCCGGAAGCTCGATATAGGCTCGCAATCTCAGCTATTGTTTTCATTCTCCTTCATCGAACAAATCTCATTCGCTATTTTCGAGAAACTTCTGCTTTATTTTCTTAACTATTAGATGCAAATAATATTAATTAATAGATATTTTGCGGTAACAAGAAAGGCAGATAGACGAAAATAGGCAGACGGTAACCAAAGATGGCATGTTTCTACTTTAAGGCTTAAATTATCACCACAGTTGTGTTATCTTATACTCACTGGACTACTGAATAATTTGGTTTAGTTCTTTTTAGGTCACAGCACTAAGCAATTTACTGTAGAGCGTCATAATGTTGAATTCGAATGAATGGTTGAAAATATTTTTATTGGAAGTAGCAGCTCAGCAGCTCGGTTTTCCAAAAAATTGAGGATATCGCATAAGGGCCAGCAAGGTAACGATGAAGAACGCCTTTCATAGGTCAGAAATTGGTTTATTACAGCTGAAATTCAACGAACTCCCACGCTAATTTCTATGACCGACCTTCTATTAAGCTTGTCATCGATCGAATAAATCTTCATATCCTTATTGTTAGTGTTATCGTTAATAGTACTACTATTATGATTATTATTATAGCAAACATGAGGCATTATTCTATTCTTCACTACGATGAAGCCGACGTTTAGGCGAATTTCGCCTCTCTCAGAGTCTGTGAAGTCCAAGTTGACCGCAATCTAGCCAGTCAAAAAACCTCCATAACTAAACAGAGAAAGTGTTAAACCAAGATTTCAATCTCAATGAACACAGAATAGCTTCTTCGCACAATCGCGGCTTTCTATAAGCTACCCATTGAGTGCGTCCTGTGGAAACCGACCGCAAGGTGTTCACGTGAAAGCGTAATGCTCTCCTCATACTAGAATAACAGGTTTAAATACTGCCCAATATCACGCGTGATTATGGGGCATTCTTCCCTGCGGCTCATTTTCGCATTAATGGAATTAATCCAAATACCTCGAGAGTTTGCATGCTTGTGTTCTAGATTCTTGTGCGAGGATCGTAACTTCTACTTCAAAATCTTCCCGTTATGTCTCTGTGTCCTATGCGTGCCAAGTGGAGTGTTTGGTTTACGTTTGCCGACTAGGCGTACTTTTATACGTACGCAGAGTGGTCTACCCTTGTCTCCAATATATTCTTCCCGCACGTATTACAAGATCAGATAAAGTGTACCCGAACGCATGCATCACTATCTCTATCGTTAAAGCAAATTATGCAGTTTTGCATTGCACATAGACGGTCAACCAGGCGGCTATGAACTAGCTGACGTGTGAAATTGCCCGGTGGAGTTTCACTTACTGTTAAGGAATTTTCTAAGCCGACCCCTCAGAAACAGCCTTTTATTGCCGCACTTAATTCGTTTGAAATGATGGGTGGGAAAAGTGCGAACTTGCTATCGCTAGGGTTGTCGTTTGAGGTCTTCGGTTTTCCTCTACACCTATTCCACGAAGCTACAGTTTTGTAAGCATTAGAAATGGATATTTGCCACTCCAATTCCAGCCAATTCTCTTCCTGCTCTCTTCGTGTGAACACACTGGCGGCCGTTCCAAACAAGTTTCTCACAAGCGCTTTTTGTGTGCGAGTGGTGTGAGGAGAGGTAATGAGCAGGAATGTTCTTACTGCTTGGCTTTTGGTACCACTTCGTAATGTAGCCGTCTTCGGATGAGACAATTTGAACCAACTTGAATTCAATTTAACTAATTAAATTTACTTTAATTCAAAACATCGGCTCGGATCATCTGCTTTAATGGAAACGAAGACGTCGAAACGTTAGCAGAATAAAAGTTATTTATCAACCTCGTGTAATCTCAACAATTCAAAACATGTTGATTATTTTATTGTCGAGGTTAAATGACGGTCGGTTTGAAAGTTAGTTAATTTAATTTAATCCGCTCAATCTTCAGGTGGTCCAGGAAGTATCACAAACGAGTGAGAGGGTTGGCAATGGAACAGCTACTGTCACTAAGGCTTGCCATTCCATTCATACTAAGGTAGATGCACCAGTAGCCGATTTTCGGCCATTGCTCTGCTGAAGATGTATAGATAGTTGCTTTCTTGCTTGCTCAACACAATATGAGCTAGACAGCCTTCCAACACTTTACCACCTCATCGTGACTGGGAGGTGTTCTTTGGTGTCGGGCTGTGAGGTACAACGGAGGGATCCATCCACCCAGCGGGGTCACCCAAGCTGAGAAGGAGCCCAGCGTTTACACCAGAAAGCCTAGTAAGCCAATACCAATACCAAGATCCCGGTATCGAACTAGCTGCATGGTGGCAAATCTCGCTTTGATCCACAAGGGCGATGACTGCCTGTGGTGTTGGCGACCTGGGGCAGTTTTTCTCCTGGCTGACCTTGAACTCGAGGGGAATACAACGGTTAAACGAGTAATACTCAAAAAAAATGAAGGTTTTGCTGGGCTCTCACAATGAGTGAGGACGGGCCATCCAAATATCCAAGTATCGAAGTAATATGAGATGTACAGTCAATTTGAGTTATTGAACGAACAATCACAGTGCATTAAGTTTGTCCAAGAGAAACCAAAAGAAAGCCGCCGGCTTCAATTTCTGAATGTTCAAATTCACCTATAGTTAAGCGGCAACATTAGAAAATGCGCTAATATCCAAGTGGTAGAAACATATTGGTTCATTACTTTTCCTCTCACCTCTCTCGAAGGAAAAGGGCGCTTGTAGGCAACTGGTTTCGAACAGCGTCGAGCCTGTGCACAGGACAGGAGCGAAAGAAGAATTCCGAAAACTGGTGCGGCAAATACCCATTTCCAATAGTTACGAAACTGTAGCCTCCCGGGATAGGTGGAGAGGAAAACCCAAGCCCTCAAACGATAACTCTAGCGATAATAGGGTTCCGTTTATCCTGCCCTTTATCTCGAATGAAATAAGCGAATGAAATGAATCACCTAATACACCTTGCTTGTGAAGGGCCGGTCTAAAGAATACGATAACAGTAACCGAAATACCATCAAGCACTCTGAGACGTCGGGTAGTTCGCAACAGTCTGTACGATCGTCTATCTCCAATGCAAAATTGCATAAATTGTTCTAACGGTACAGACGGTGATTGCATGAGTTTCGGCACAGTTTATCCGATCTCTTGCAAAGCGTGCATGTAGGACTACATTTGTGGAACGGGCAGACCCCTTGCCTCCACATAGAAGAACACTTAGTCGGTAAACTTAAAGTTAAAACAAATACTCCATAAAAATGCACATGACACGGAGACGTAACAGGAAAGATTTTGAACTAGAGGTTACGATCCTCACAAAGGAGTCGAAAACATGAGCGCGCTAAATTCTCAAGGCATTCTGAATTAATTCCAGAAATCCGAAAATGTGCCACTGTGAGGAATTCCTCGTAATAATGTGTGATATCGGACAGTATTTAAGATTATTTCAATGTGAGAGGCATATTACGCTTCCACGTGAACTCTTTGCGTTAGTCTCCACGGGACCCATTCAATGGAAGACTTATAGAACGTGGTGATTGTGCGAAGAAGCTATTCTGTGTTCAATGTGATTGCAATCTTGGTTTAGCATTCTCTCTGGTTATGGAGGTGCTTTGCTGGGTAGATTGCAGTCAACCTGACCTTTCCAGGTTGTGAGGGAGACGAAATCCGCCGAAACGTCGGCTTCGTCGTAATAAGGAGTAGAATAACACCGCGTGTTTGCCTAACAAGAATATAAAGAACTGCCACACTGTTCGTTTACGTAAAAATTAGTCGTCAAATTTAGGCCGGTTTCCGTTGTTTGTAATTTCTCAAGGTCAAAGAAGTACATTCGATGGCTTTCTGCTGTGATATTTTCAAATTCAGAAAAGAAGTAAACGTAGACAAGCTTCAAACCGGAATTCTAACGTCGACTTTTGGAAGAATGTATTGTAGATAGAGCAAGAGAGGTCGGCAAAACAAACCATAGACTGGACTTTGCCCGTTAACACTGCCTGACGGTGAGTTGCTGTCACTGTCTGTTTTGATGTTGCCATTTTGTCCCCATCGACGACCGGCGTCTTTCTTTAATCGTTTTTCTTTGGCACGCCGATTTTGGAACCATACCTTAACAAATTACTAAGGTTTTTTTCCACGACGATGTTTTCTCTGTGTATAAATATGGTGTTATTACTAAACGCCTGCAGTATAGGAGAAACCTGGTACTTCGATATAAACTATCCATTTTTGCACAGAGCATACATCAGGTGCTGTCAAAATCACAAACGAAGTACGAAATTTGAATAAATTTCAAAACGTATTAGTGAAAGAGAAAGATTCTGTCTGCTCTATTTCCGTGGAATCTGAAATACGTCAGGGAATCAAAGGTGGAATGTTATAGATCCTCACTCTTCCTGCGCCTTACACCTTCACCAGACCTCGCGCAAAGTCAGGACTTCTTGGAATAGCTTGAATGGAATGCATATTCGTTAAAAGAATTTTGTGTCATCTATTCTATGCTAGTGGCCAGTAATGTCAAGACTCCCGCGTGCATGAGATTAACCAGCTACGTTACCATAGTGAACAGGCAAAAAGTCGGTAATCAAGTCTGCTCATACATGCTTACCAAGATCATAGACTAAAGCAGAAAAATTACGACGCATCAGCATATTTTATCTGAATGACGATCAAGGCGAAAGGCGATTTCTTCTAACCTGAGATAGAAAGCAGATCGCTGAGTTTTCTTTTCGCTCGTAAATAAATTAAAGTCGGAGATAAACTAAAAATTTTGTTTTCGATTAGAATGCTATAAAAATACAGTGTCTACAATGTTATAGAAATTGTTTTTGATCAAATGAAGTTCCGTTTGCGAAACAAAACCGGAAGACGGATTTAGCCGAACCTCACTGACACACAGGTACTTGGATGGACAAATCGGCCAATAAACTTAGAAAATCGTCCCTCTTCCTTAATGATATCAACACTAAGAATAAAAAATGTGTTGAAAAGGCTGTACCTGAACAACTCTCATATCTAGGCCTGTTTCGGCCGCAAGCTGTTCTCTTACATGACGTGCTGGTTTACTGCTTGCTGTGTATGCCTTAAGAGTATTAATAGAGCCGACAACGTATTGAAAAATTGCTACTTAAATGTAATCACCTAACATCTACTTCACGTCTACTTTATTCCTCTATGAAAAGGATTTACGTCTTTTTGCTTGGCTAGTGGTGGCACTTAAAGTTTTGCTTACTCCCCTAATATCATTGGAAAACGAAACATTTTTCTATTTAGTAAGAGTTAATCTCATTATAAATCGGATAGATCATATAGACCGATTATCCTTTTAACACTTTTAACTTTACAAAGGTGTAAATTTACATTGCTGTTAATATTGAACAATGAACGATAAGAAATGACTACCGTATTAGCAGAAACTAGTAAAATTGTAGAAAACGTTTTTTGCATTGTGATGAAAAACTCTTATCAAAATAAAGAATCTTACGAGTTCTTCACATTCTGACCTGTTTAAGCGTATCGAGGCTTTTGGCTGAAATCGTTGTTCTTGGTCGCTTATTGCTCACGTCCATCTCTGAATCAATAGCTGAAAATCGTAGTTAAGTTACAAATCGTGTCAGAAGTGAAGTTTAATTCGCCACGAGACCTAAGTGTCCACAGAACGTATTACATTCATCGTACGTTAATCTACCAATTTCTATGTATAATGTAGAGCAAACGGGAGATATTTTAAGTTCTATACGATAGTGATAAAAACAATTATGATAGGAAGGAGGAATACTTAATGTGCAAATAGTGACAACTGAATAAGACCACTGAGGGTGGGACAGACGAGAACCAGCCACGCGGGGCGGGCATTACATTGGGAATAGCGTGAATTTGCTCGCAGGACAAACCTTTCCATCAAAATTCTCTATCCCCGCAGTTACTTTTGTTTGATAATCAACTTAATAGATGATAACTGGCGTAAATAAGTGTGGGATTGTTCACTGGCCGTAATCAGTAGTAGTGAGACTGACGCACTGAAAGTAAGGCAGGAGTAATGACGCTCGTAGAGAAGTTATCGAACATAATGCAGCGAAATGAGTGATTAATGTTTTACTTCATCGAAAAAAAAATTTATTTAGGTTTATAGGCTCTGTATGTGGCATTAGGAGTAGGTGGAAATGGCAAGTGCATGGCAAACGCTTTCCATTTACATTCGTTAGCTTGCCTTCAGAATCAGGTGATGGTCCAAGAGAGGTGAACAGTCGAAGCGGATTCGAAAAAAGTTGAGAAACTATTAAATCGGCAGCAAACGCAATTTTTAAATAAATAAAGTTAATTTTTTTGTAATTCGGTACTCTGGATTGATTAAATAGGAGACGTGTATTAGATTACTATCTTTGGAAACTTGAGTCTGAAGAGCATTTTGATGATGTCAGAGTATTTTAGAGTAAAAGGTTAGGTTGGCCTTTCACCATTTTCTGACAAAATGCTCAGATAGAAGGGTCTTTGACACATTATGAGAAAGTGGCGTTCACTTACGCTTCTCTTTAGCGAGCTCATAATCGCTCTTGCATACCAAACGACCGCTTTCTGGAATCAGATAAAACTCTTCGCCGGTTTTCATTTCTCGCTTGCAAACCACACATTGAAAACATTCAACGTGGTAGACGTGACCTGTGTAGAACAAGCAGAGTTTAATACCACCACCTATTCTGTATTTTACAACAACGTTAAATGAGAAACTGTTGTTAGAACCAGAAACCTGATGCTTTTCGTACTGCTGAGTCAGGAATGATACCATCACCACATTGCGTGCACTTGGTTCCAAAACGTCTACAACAAATATGTGAAGAAATATCTGTGAGGGTGAGAAATATCAGTGAGACAGAAAAGGTGGCTTTGAGTAGTCATAATGCTATATTTTTAGAATCATCAAAGATGAACATCAGTTCTGTGTGTTTCAAAAGTGATGCTTTCATTAGAGTTTCATAACTACAGCTACTCAGGCAGCGGTAATTTTCTCATAATGGTACGTCACCGTCGGCCCATAGGTCTTATGATAATAGAAAAGAACCAGCTGATCGATCTACCTATACGATAGACTTAAATATATAACATATTATATTAAACATATTAGTTACTATGACGGTGTTGGAATTCGTCGCCGCCAGTGCTCTGGAGAAGCAGACCGTGATGCTATGCAGTAATCGTCGCTCACAAGGAGTAACCGTTAGACCACCGTCAATTCTACCCTCTCCATTGACAACAGATCCTCAATTTATGCGTTGAACACATTTTGGGAGTCAGATACAAGGAAAGCCATCACGGGCTTATTTGTGCGTAATGTCCTTGGGTGAGCAACGATTTGTGTAATCATGTTGTAAAAGTTGTAGGTCTTATATTTGTATGGAAAGAGATTATTGGTTTTTCATCAAAGCAGAAACTTTCTTAAAAGGAGAAAAGCTAGGAAATCGAAGATCATTGAAGAAGCTTACATGTAGAAGTGATCCTTGCAGAAAAGCGAGTCTTCTTTCATGAAGCACGTCGATGTGAGTGCTTCGTTGCACACAAAGCAACGTAAACAATCAGTGTGGTAGGAGCTGTAAGGTGCAGTATGTTTTTCACAATGTTCAAAAAATCGATAAAAGGTGTAAATACACTGTAGCGTTGGGCTAAATTCTCAGAAATTATAGCAATTCGGTCCATCTTTCAACTTGGTGGATTCATTCGTAAAATCCTTATATGACATGTTGTCGTGCTAAAACTCATCCTAGGAATGACGAAATTAGGGAAGAAGAGCGAAACATATTGTGAAACTTCCGGCTCCTGATCATTGAGTAAAAGTCACTACCACACTGCCGAATATTTCAAAATCTGATATGATTTACCGTTACTTCTCAAAAAATTAAGCGAAAAAGATGACTAAACAAAGGCAGAGGAGAGCACCATAAGATGGAGCACGTAGTAGCAGACATTAAAAGGCGTCGTTGACAATATAAGAGACTTGAGGAAATCGTATTAATTCAAATCTACTTCACAAACTTTCAAAGAATTTTAATTCCTCAACTTTGAAAGAGGTATAGGCAGCAACGAATAACATTTTCTCTTCCACAAATATGAGCGAAGGAGGAGAAACACATAATGAGGAAGTTCGTCATAAATTTAGTCCGCGAAGAAGAAATTTGACATGTCTACGGTTTGTGTTTTACATACTCACCGTTCCAGAACTCGATTGACAAACCTTTCTCGAATCGGCATGTCACACCGTGCGCATACGCACAGCACGCAACTCTCTGGAATGATGGATGGTTTGTTAGAATAATTTAATGCACCCGCACGACTCCTATTGAACAAGTTCGGGACAGGCTAACAGCGGCTATATAGCAAAAACGGCAATGTTCCAAAAACCATTCTAAATTTCTTGCATTGTTTTGTAAGAAGTTGGATCCGGAACGTGAACACATGAGGGCCAAAATCATACGTCTACAATTCTAGGCTAAAACTCTGCATTCGAATTCGGAAAAAAAAATTCGCGTCCACATCGATGTGGTAACTCACTGGAACGAATATAAACAAATAGAGTGCAGTTTTACACCTTTGGCGGTGCATGCAAAGCATGCTAATGGCTGCCATCCTACCGCAGAGCAAATATAACAGATGCTTAGGGGCTAACAGGTAGTATCCAGATAGATATAACCAACAAAACAATCACCGGGTACTACAGCTTTATGCTTAAGCTAAGCATTGTGCATTGCCTAACTATATCTGCAAGCGGATATCGGGCAAAAATACATCAAACTCTCTTAGTTCTCCCTAGTTCCGTACCATTAATGTCCATTGGTAGGTGTCGTATACTACCGCTTAGTGAATACTGGAATAACTCATGATGTAGAAACATTTAAACTTTGCCGTGCTTTCAGTTTGATAGGTGTCAACATACAGCTTTATGCACCACTAACTGTTCCTGAATTTTCGAGCGTTGGCCACATACGGGCTAATTCCAAATGAGTCGGAGCTCAAAGTGTCATGGAGGTGAGGAAAAGATTGGTGCACTGACCATTTGTTGTGTTGGAGAGGTCTTGCTGTGTTACTGCAGCTTCATTCGAACCACCTTCGCCCAAAGCATGCATTTCAAAGAGTAACGCTGGAAAACTTTGATTTAAAAATCAGCAGAGAATAAAGAAATTATGTATACAGGAGAGGAAAGAGAAATTCTAAATTAAAATCGCATAACATAGCGAATCGATAATTCTGGGAAGAGGTCGACCAAGCACTCCCACAGGAAGCCTTGCCTATGTCCTATTTAACGGGAAACCCTAAATAATCGACTAGGTTTCCGCTGATGTTGAGCATGAAACTGCTTCTGAGATGGGATGTATGGTTAACACTTTTGAAAGACAAACCCCATTCAGGGCAGGTATTGCTTGAAAAACACACTTTTTGTCTGCTAAATAATTGGAACTGTTGTAGGGATATAGTGTAAGATGCCACGAACACGTTGATGAACATTGAGATGTGATGGTTGACAAGTGTTGTTCGCCGAAGAGGGTCCGAGATGTTTCCGGTCGGAATCGCTTTGCCCCGCCTCTCGGCCAATCACACACGAGCGTCCCAAGATTGCCACCAACTGCTTAAGATACTGTATAGAAGTCAAGACAAAAATAAGGACCCCATCACAAATTGCAGAAGAGTGAGTTTCAGTGTTAGGTCTGCATCAAGAAATCCATTTACCAGAAAGCTCACTGCCGAAAGCTATTGGGTCAAGTTATTTCTTTCATTGAAGAAATACTAATCGCTATGGATAAGGCAAATAAAACCAAGCATTCAATAATACAATAACGTCTGTAACCAAAACAAGACTTTTAAACCAGGCTATACTGTTATCTTGGTCCTTCTCTTAGTACTCTTAAAGTCGAAGTATTGCAGCAGCTGTTTGCTTGAGCAGTAATAGTACATAGTTTAGGCCCATTGAATACATATAAGTTATTGTTCAACTAGTTGCAAACGGTTAAAGAATCGAAGCGCCAACTCTTGTAGGTAAATATATTCCATATAAAACGAAGAGCTTAAACAATGGTATATTAAAGATTGCGCTAAGTTTTTGTATGTTTATTGTTCTTCAAGTCAGTCATTTTTTTAAATATTAAGCGATTTAATTGAATTAGCAAGGAAAAGGCTTACGAATGTTGTCAAGGTTTTCCGGAAATTTTGTGATATTGTGGGCAGGGTCCATGTGAAGCGACTGTTACCCCAGAGGTTGTCCACTTCTGGATTGATATGCTCTTCCGTTTCTAGTAATTATGTAATGGCATCGACGGGCTGCCAGCTATTCCCGCAATATGGTGTGCTGTCGCAAAAATTATGACACATTAAGAAGCGCTCGGCGAGCCGTTCAGTCGGTCATTGCCACCACCTGTCAGGCTGGATCCATGAAACACGCCTGGTGATCGTCGGTCACTTCACAGACTGCGTAGCCGATGCGGTGGACGATAAATGAGTTGATTATGGAATTTTTTCGACGAAAGTTCGGCCAGCAAATATTTACAATTGAATTCCGCCTCTGTTCCACATGCTACTGTCGCGAAGTGAATAATTCAGCCAATACACAAATTAATAGACGCAGCGGCAAAATAGCGATAAATTATGAATAAGACGTCGCATACAATGTGCAACGACAAGACAACGACAAGCTTAATCGTATATCTTACGAAAAAAAAGAAACACAAGTGAATCCTAGGCATTCGCTGTGCAAAAACAGTCGCTAGCACTAGCTTGTTTTTAAACATAATATTCGTCAAATAATTTAAGGAGCCATAATCGTAGTTGCAATAGATTGGAAAGATGGACGAGTTCTCTCAAAATCTATCCTTTTCCAATTGAAACATTTAACACGAATATTTAAAATTTCAGTCAAACGCGTATGAGAGTGGAGTTACCGAGAAAAAGAGGGAGAGAGAGGGAGGAAGAGGAGAGGGGGAGCGAAAAAGCGCATTTTCGAGAAAATCATAGGCAAGTTGGTGATGGTGAAGATTTACGATTTTGGGTTCTTGTGACCATAGGCACAGATTTCTTGTTCTGAGAATTTTATTGTGCAGTAGCAGCACGGAAAGTGTTTATGGTGATAGCCGGACAAAACCGTGGCCTGATGCTTTGTCATCGTCGTTGGACGGTGAGCTGATGCTACTTACTCGTATTATCCCTCTTTCGCCCATTACATGCAGCCCAAATTTAGCTAATTGTTGGCTTGGATGCATTTTGGCGCATTACGGTAAACCCATAAGCTGAAGCAAAACACCTTAATCCCCAGGGTACTAAGAGCAAGAGGGAAACTTTGCCTCATATCATCTTTGATTGGTTGCTCATTTCAAAACTAGGAGAAATCCAACCAAAACGAAGGTGATTTGATTCGGTGAGAAGTTATGGAAAACAAGCTTTTGACATTAGGTCTTTGCCGGTTTTTTGTCTAACCACTGATATACGCCATTGCTTTGGAACCACCTTGCTATTATTTCTTGTTTCTTTGTCTTTAATTTATCAGTATACTTAGCATCGCTTTAGTGGGTCTGTTCCAACAATATAAATAAAATGCTTAAGAATCACTGCTCATGGAGCTTGAGATGTCTGCGTTTCATAATTTCTCCTGCCTCGGTTTTCCATTTTCGAAACTGAGCAAGTTCAAATTAAGTGAGGTGGCTGTATGATACAGCACTGTATCTATTGACTAGTTAGTTGATCGTTGACCTTGTGAAGGTGTTGTATAAAGTGAACTATATTCTTTACTCTGTTATTTGGTGGCTCTCTTCTTTCTGCTAGTGTTTTCTATACAGTTGACACTTCGAAATTCTTCACTGCTCTGCTTTCACCACCTACCGTATTCTGTTTTGTCTGTTCAGCCAGCTGGCCCCGTAGTCAATGCGGCCTTCAGCCATGGTTTATGACACCTAAGCGTTACTCGTAAAGTTGTCAGCTATCGATCTGAGCTCTAGAATAGAATGTTTAATGACTTTTCACGGTAAACAACAATGATTTATACTGTACAATAGTAGCATTCGATTGCTTTATAAAAATACGAAATGAAATTGCGAATATCAACTAAGGATTTATACTATCTGAAAGAAGAGGGCACGTCTATACCAATAAGGAAACACACATAAAACTACGTTTTAATCCTGCCTTACAAATGAAATAAAAACCTGTCAACCAATTTCGATGCTGGAACGATCTAGTGAAAGTTTAGCATTATTACGGAGTGTGCGTTAAACGGCGACTCATTGGAAGAACGACGGCGAGTTGTAGTGCTTGCAATACGGGATGAAGATGGATGGATTCGCGAGAATCCCCCTTTAAGAGGATATTCTCCCCTGTAAGATTATTAACGCACTTTGTTATACAACAGTTAAATAAAAAGCGGATTCTATAAAAAGTCTCTTGGCAAGAATTGCTTTTTTGTTTTCGATTTTCCTTTTTGGACGCAAGGAAATGAGTCGATTACAAGAAGTGCCAAGATTCATAGAGTGAACGTGAGGACTGGTCGTGTGAAATTAAAAAAAAAACTACTGATAGCTCTTGTAAACTGGTTTTTATTTCACCGTGGTATAAATAATAAATGGCTTTTCTGATTGATCAGTTAACACGAAGTAGTTATAAAAGCTTTGTTACAAAAACGTCGCGGCGAGTTCATCTTCATCAGAGCCGTATTGATCTGAGTCCATTGTCCACAGCATTTCATTCTTGACATGTATATCTTCATAGTTGTGAAGAGTCGAATACGGTGAAGTGGAGCATCACTGTAATGAACTAACCTCACTAGCCGACTAATGATACCAGTGATGGTTTCCATAAAGAATGCTACCAGGTTACAGTCAGTGTCAGGAACTGTCACCTGTGAAAGTGCACTATCAAGTGAGATGACTTCATGCGCGCAGTGAATACCATTGACGTGTGTTCTTCATAGAAACAGAGAACGAAGCCAATTTACAGAGTGGATGCAGATTTGCAATTGAAAAGTTACGCGTGGTGTCCACCTAAAAAGTTGTAGCTCATTCAAGAGTTTTCACTCATTTATAAAGTTTCAGCAGAAAGAAGACTAATTGAGTATGCATCCGTGCGTCCTTGAATGATTTCAAGATTGACGCTTACACGCTCACAGTGACTCCGATGGAGCACTGAGAGCTGTTAACTTCAAAATAACTTGGCGGGCTCGCCACTACTGATTCGATCTCTTTTGAATTCGTTAATTTATACAGAGTTTCATTGAAAATGGTTCAATTGAAAGCCCCTACGACATGCAATGGCGATCCATC